TAGCTCCTGGAGTAAGAAAGAACAGACTCAAGGCTACTCTAATATGTACACCCTTGGGAGCCATTGCACAGGCTGGGGAATTGCCATAGTGCAGGATGCTCCAGCGGTGCCTTGTTCCGTCCTCAACATATCCTCCCTGTTCCCCTGTAAATGCCTTCTAATGGCTAGGAGGCCAGGAGTTGATAATGTAGACACAGTTATAGTAGCTCTATGCCAACCAGAGGTTCTCCTAATCAAAGGGAATCTTGTCAGACATCTTTCATAAATGCATTTGACTGGGCCCAATGATATGTCCTTGTGTTATTTAGGAGGCTAGTCACATACCTTATTTAACTAGCAATGAACATTTAAAGTAAAGAGTTCCCAAATAACTCATAGGCAACTGCATCCTAAATGTCCCATCAATATTTATGACTATCAAATATATGCAGAGATATCAGCTTAGGCTCATGAATAAACAACAAATAGAAAAAAGGACCAAATTTTTAAATAAAATAAAATAAAAAATAATAATATCAATTTATTGTTTTTAATTATCATTATCATTATCATCATTATTATTATTATTATTATTATTATTATTATTGTTATTTAAAATGAACAATTAACAGGCCTGTAGCTGACATGGATTTTTCAGTGTTTGTTATTTCTAAACTTCTCCCTCTTCCCTCCACCCTCCAAAAAAAAGTTCCTGTAATTATTCCTACTTAGTTTCAACTGCAGAAATGCTCTCTGTCTCCATGTTCTTTGCAGTAGCCAGGCAGAATGCTGGATCCTATTCCATATCAATAAAACCACATCAGACTCCAGACATAAGTTCATTATATTGTACACCCTGTTCAACTCTGATGCACTATTGTTACAAAAACACTGTAAAAATAAAGCCAGTTCATTCTTACAGCTATTTCTATACTCCTTTGGAACAGGGCCTTTTGCAACAGGGAGAATAATGTCTGTTGGCAGTGATCCACTTTTTGGATATAGCTACATAGACATAGGGGTGTCCCTGGAAAATATCAGGACACAGACCCA